TCTTTCTTTCTTTCTTTCTTTCTTTCTTTCTCTCTCTCTCTCTCTCTCTCTCTCTCTCTCTCTCTCTCTCTCTCTCCTTCCTTCCTTCCTTCCTTCCTTTCTTTCATTTTTTTTTTTTTTGGTTTTTCAAGACAGGGTTTCTCTGTGTAGCTTTGCGCCTTTCCTGGAACTCACTTGGTAGCCCAGGCTGGCCTCGAACTCACAGAGATCCGCCTGGCTCTGAGTCCCGAGTGCTGGGATTAAAGGCATGTGCCACCACCGCCCGGCTCAGCCCACTTTCTTATAGCACCCAGGACCACCTGCTCAAGGTGTTTGTGCACAGCCCACATGGGATATGCCCTACCACATCAATAATTAATCAGGAAGATGTCCCACAGGCTTGCCTCCGGGTAATCTGATGGAGGCATTTTCTCAGTTTAGTTCCCTCTTCCCAGATGACCCTCACCTGTGTCAAGCTGACATCAAAACTAACTAGCGCAGCGACCGAGGGAGCCCGCCCAGCCTGGGCTATCCGACCCTGTCTCAAACAATAGCTTTGATGTACCCGCTGTAAGAACCAGTTTGGAATATGATGCTGGATCCATGCTGGGTGCTTGATGCTTTCTGGGAAGCTGGCCATAAAGGGCTTGCTTCCTGCAAGGATGGTCAGCCCTACTTGATGGGCTCAGTCAGAACGCCAGGCGTGGCTCACACCTGTAATCCCAGCACTTGGGAGGAAGAGGTAGCAGGTTCAGGAGTTCAGGGTTATCCTGGGCCACAAAGTGAATCTGAGACTCTCCTGGGCTGTGTGAGATCCTATCTCAAAAATGAGTTGAAGCCGGGCGGTGGTGGCGCACGCCTTTAATCCCAGCACTCGGGACGCAGAGCCAGGCGGATCTCTGTGAGTTCGAGGCCAGCCTGGGCTACCAAGTGAGTTCCAGGAAAAGGCGCAAAGGTATACAGAGAAACCCTGTCTCGAAAAACAAAAAACAACAAAAAAAAAAAAAAAAAAAAATGAGTTGAGTAGGAGCTGGCTCATCAGTTAAAAAAGCATCGTCTGCTCAACCAGAGGTTCAACTCCCAGCACCCACATGGCGGCTAACAACTGTCTGGAACTCCAGTTCCAGAGGATCCAAGGCCGCCTTCTGGCCTCCGAGGACACTGCACACACGTACACAGACATGTAGGGGCAAAGCACCCATGACATGAGAGACATACATATTAAATAAAAATAAGGCTGGGTGGTGGTGGCTCACGCCTTTAATCCCAGCACTCAGGAGGCAGAGGCAGGTGGATCTCTGTGAGCTGGAGGCCAGCCTGGTCTATATAGTGAGTTCCAGAACACCCAGGGCTGCTACCTAGAGAAAACAAAAAACACAAAAACCACAAAACCAATAGATAAACAAATCTTTAAAGCATAAATAAAGCTACCCAGAAACTCCAGGGCCAGGGAGATGGCTTAGTGGGTAAAGGTGCTTTCTACACAGACCTGGTGATCTGAGTTTGATTCCCAGAACCCACGTCCAAATGAAGGAGATGATCAATTCCAAAAAGCTGTCCTCTGATGTCTACGCATAGAAGGCAGACATTCCGCCCTCCACATCATGTTTACACACAGTACTAATGATGAAAAAGAATTCTAAGGTAGTTCTGATGGACTGCGCTGTTGGCTAGCTCAGGCCTCAGAAATTGAGGGGCGGACGTGCTACCTCCTGTACCCCGTGCCAAGGGGGACATGAGCTCAGGGAATGGGAAAGCAAAGATATATACATGTCCACTTGGGGACCTGAGTGTCCTCAGGGGACCCTGGCCAGTGTGTCAGGCAGAGCCAGGGAACAACTTGGTTTGAGGTACAGAGGCTGGGCCTGGTGTCAGGAGGCTGTGGTGACTGAGGGACTGGCCAGGGTGCTTCCATTTGGTCATGGAGACCGTTTGGGCCCAGGAAAGCAGTTCACACTTGCTCCCAGGAGTTAGCGGTAAATGAATGTGCCACCTCAATCTATGTACCATGCCCCTTCTCAAAGTGTGGCTGCACTGATGGGGCCTGGAAGACTCTGGAGTACCTGGAACTGTGGGCTAGATGACAAAATGGAGCTGCAGGGAGGCGCTGGGCCCCCTGGGTGTTCAGAGGCGAAAGTAGGAGGCTGGTAGCCGGCCTCTTCCTGCTCTGTTTGGAAACAAAACACAGCTTGTTGTCCAGCCTCCTAGCAGTAGCCATTTAGGTCAGTGACCCTGGGCTCTGGAGAAGGGCTTGTGCTTTCCAAGGGGTGGGGGATGGGAGAGACCCGTGTGGCTGGAGGACTCTGGATTGTCGGGTGCAGGCTGGACACTCACATGCCCGTCCTTGGATGGTCTAGGAACACCAGGGACATCTGGGGACAGGCTCAGGTGGATGGTGCCCACACAGGTGCATGGAGGCCACCCAGACTTCTGGGGCCTGACACCCGCCCTTCCCAGCTCTTGTCGTTTGTTGGCTTACCTCTCACTGTGCGGGTGGTCTTGGCATCTGGGACGCGTTATCGGGCGGAGGTGGTCCTGGCCGGAAGTGCTGAGAGTTTCCTGAAGGGCCGGGCAGCTGGCAGCTGGCTGGCTGGGCTGAAAGCTGAAGGGGGAAGTTTTGTAAAGAGGGAGGGGGGCCCACTGCAGCCCCCCACCCCACCGTGTGGCAGGTCTGAACAGTCTCCTTTTACTTGGTCTATAAAATGGGCTCGAAGCCTCGGCTTCTGAGGGGCCACCTCATAGTGTAGAACTGGGCAAGGCCTGACTTCTGCTGCCAGACTGGCTTCAGAGCTAGGCCGACCCAGGTCAGGTGGCTATAGGCACCCAGAACCTTCCTGCTTCATTGTTGAGACCTGCCTGTGTACTGGGGACATGACTGTCACATCTGATCAAGCAGTGTCCTGAACAGGACTCAAATTTGGGGCTGGGATGGAGCCCGGTAGTAAGAAGTGTTTTTAGCATGGGTGAGGCCCTACTCTGTCCCCAAAACTTCAAGGGAAGGGAGGGAGGAAGGGAGGGGGGAAGGGAAAGGGGAGGGAAGGGGAGAGGATGGACTGAGGAGATAGCTGAGTTGGTAAAGCATTTGCTGTGCATGCCTGAGGCCCTGAGTTCGAGGCTCAGAACCCATGGAAAAAGGCAGGTGTGGTGGCACACATCTATAATCTCAGGGCTGGGGCTATGGTGGTTGGAGACAGGAGGATCCCTGGAGTCTCCGGCCCTCCTAGCTGAATCACTGAGCTCCGGGTTCACTGGGAAACTCTCAAAAATTAAGGTGGAGAGTGATCGAGGAAGACAGGTGGTACTGACCTCTGGCCTCTACGAGCATCTGCTCACACATAAACGTACACACACACATACACAGAGGACCGAGAATACAGCACAGTACTATCATGTTTACCAAGCGTGTGTGAGGCCCTAAGTTCAATTCCCAGCACCAGAAAGAAAAGAAAAGAAAAGTTTGAGGCTTGGGCTGGCAAAAATGAGTCAGTGGGTAAAGGAGCCTGCTGCCGAGCCTGAGGACTTGAGTTCAATTAGAATTCGCATGGTGAAGAAGGGAACCAACTCTATCCTCCACACACGCGCACGGCACACCCACGCCCACGCACAAGCACACTGACTAAATAGATAAAATGTAATCAATAATTTAAACAGAAAAATAAGTCTAAGGAAAAGAAGGAGAATCCAGTCTCTGAAGCTGTGTTGTTCTCAAAGGCAGGGACACTGGGGTCCCAAGGGAAGTGGCTTGCCAGAGGCAGACACTAAGAAACAGGACTCAGTGTTTGGTCAGAGACCCTTCCTCTGTGCCAGGAAGCTTCTAGAACAATTTAGGTCACTCAGGTGGCAGCGGCTGCCTCCTGGGACCCACAGACCGCAAGCGGATGGATGGACAATTGCTTTTTCACCAGCTTCCCCAGAGATCCAAGCAGGCTCTGGCTGACCTGTCTTGGCAACATGGGGCCGGGTATGGCAGCTTTCAGGTGGGCCGGGGTGTGTCACGTTGGGTGTGTCAGGGCATGTTGTGGCATGTGCATGGAGTCTGGGGCCCACTGGGTAGCTGGGTGGGTGGCACCCTTGGCTTCTCCAGGGAAACTCTACTATCCAGGCTGCTTGGGGCACTACCTGGGGTACTTCCTAGGACCCCGTGGTCACCCATGGACTCATTTCTGAAGCCCTCCCAGGGACCAGGTGGGGCATCTGGGGAACACCAAGTCACACCTTCCCATGAATGAAAGATGGAATGGTTGACCCTTCCTCCTGCTGAGAGGTTTGCGTGTGCCCCAGGCCTCTCTGTGTTCACAGTGTTTCAGCACACAGGACCTGTGAGCAGTGAGGAATTATTTATGAGCTGGTCAGAACAGCGCCCCCTGCAGGAGGTGCCGCAGAATTGTAAGTGGTGACCAGATTGACATATGGGCAGAGTCTCCGGCTAGCCCTGTGACATTCCGCTCTCTGCAGATCAGCTTTGTTCCCCGCCTTAGGGCCTCTCGTGTTCGCCCCATGTTGTCCTTTCTCCGTTGGCCTACCCTGAGCTGTGTCTTAGCTGGACTGCCCTGGGCTGGTGGCTATGCCTCTCTGGATTTGTTTCCTGCTGCTTCTGATGGGGTCAGGAGTGGAAAGCAAGGACCCAGTCTCCTCCAGGGCTGGAGGTGGGGGTCGATCTGGGGGCCCACTGTGAGTCACCACTGCCCAGGATAGGAGGTAGTGGCATCTTTGTGGTCAGAGGAGGTCACAAGCCAGACCTGGCACCAGCCTGGCCATTGTGCCTTTGCTCAAGACCTGTTGAATTCGCGGTGACACTCCTGGCCTCAGTTTCCCCAAGATGGCCCCCGAGGCCCTGCTTCTTTCTTAGAGTTGAGTGGCTTTGGACATAAATGCTTTGAGACCTGCCTGTCCTGGAACTTGCTATGTAGACCAGGCCAGCCTTGAACTCACAGAGACCCATGTGCCTCTGCCTTCTGAGTGCTGGGATGAAAGGCGTGCGCCATCATCCCCAGCTTGACATAAGTGTTTTTATTTTCTAGAAACTTCAATGCCCTCCGGAAGGAAAACATTTACGAGAACAACAAGCTGGTGAGTTGGCTAGCTGATGCCCGCTGTCTGTCCTTTAAGCCCTCTGCCTCAAACTCCCAACTCTTATCTGAAGGGCCACTGCACCTCAGTGGAGTGAGCCTTCTGCTGGGCTATCCAGGGACCCCATTCTGGGGATTTGGCCTCCACACAGCTCCTCAGCTAGTCCCAAGCTGGGCAATCTGTGTTCTGAGATCAACGTTTGATCTTGGATCCTAGGCCCCATGGACTCCTCTCTTCCTCACTGGGACAGTGAGGTCCCAGGGAGTAGCAGCCAACCTCCTTTCTTTCAGAGCAAGGCCCCTGGAAGCTGTGAGAGGGTGGGTCCTGGGGATCCTGGGGGTAGGCAGGATCACCTTCCCTGGCCCCTTGATTCAAGACCTACTCTGTACTTCCATGTGCCAGCCTAAGTCACCCCGCTACAAAATATGCCCCACGCATGGTCCCTTGGACTAACGCAATCTGTTCTTACTCTGAGCCAAGCAGGGTCCGCATGGGCCCCTGATACTGGCATCTCTAGGGAGGACTGAGACAGAAGACATGAGATGCTTTACCTGCCCAGGTAGGGCAGCCTCTGTAACTTAATTAGCATGAAATACAGTTAAAGACTCAGTTCTGGGCCGAGTCTGGTAGCACATGCCTTTAGTCCCAGCCCTGGGGGCTGGGATATGGCTCACTGAGTAAAACTGCTTGTGGGGCAAATGTGGAAGACCTAAGTCCAGATCTCCAGAACTGCCAGATGAATGTGGCAGCTGGCCTGGAATGCCGGTGCATGGGAGGTGGAGACCGGGGACCCCAAGAGCAAGCTGTCTAGCCAGACACGCCCAGTTGGCTAACTTGGGATTCAAGCGAGAGACCCTGAATCAATACATAAGGTGGAGAGTGATCCAGGAAGACATCAGTGTCAACCTCCAGCCTCTAATACACAGGCACATAGTACACACACACTGCATGACATGTACACCCACACACATTTGAACATTTGTGCACATACTCCCCCCACCATGCATATAAAAAATAAACATAAGATAGAGAACACTTTCAGGGAGCGTCTGACCTTGACCTCTGGGTGCCATATGCATGTACGCATGCACACATGAACATACCCAGTCACACACACACACACTAGAGTCAGTTCATCGGGTGTTGGCTGCATTGCAGTACACTGCTCTAATAGCACTGGGTGAGAGGTGGGAGATGAGGCTGGGATGCACGGATGCCTCGGCAGATCTGTGGATGCTCTCAGGAAGCCATCTTGGGTGGAGTGACTGTGTGGACGACAGAGTGCTGGGCAGGACACGCAGTTGAGGAGCCAGGGAGGGGTGGGGTCCTGAGGCAGGTGCAGGGCCTGGTGGAGAAAGGACTTTGGGCTTTCCCTCCGAGCCAGTGAAACTGGACCCCTGGGAAGCGTGGACTGGAGGCTCTCCTTCTCCAGACTGCAGGAGAAAGGAATGTCCGGGGAGGAGGTCACACAGAGGGTACACATGGCCTTCAGTGGGAATGGCCTGATCCTGAGCCTGTTCTGTGGGTCAGAGGAGACCTGAGGCTTGGTATGAGTGTGGCATGGAGAGTGTGGCATGGAGACCCTAAGGGGCTGCCCACGTGGGAACAGTGTAGGGACCCCAACTTGGCATCCACGTGGAGGCCACACAGGCATCTGGAAGAAGAGCCTCAGTGAAGGAAGCTACAAGAGAGCCCTGTGAGTCACCGGGGACCAGGGCCAGGACGCCAGTGACCTCTGCCCTGAGCTAAATGGAGCTGGTGGAGTTTTACAACTTTTAGATTTTTATGTATTTTGTTTTTCAGTATTGAGACTTAAACCCAGGGCATACACACTAGGCAGGTGCTCTACCACTGAGCCACACCCCAGCCCCTCACTGGGAGATTCTAGGCAGGTGCTCTACCACTGAGCCACACCCCAGCCCCTCACTGGGGGATTCTAGGCAGGGGCTCTAATCCTGACCCATATTCTCAGCCCCCTTTTTACTTTTTATTTTGAGATAGTATTCGTAACTAGGCCTGGCTGGCCTTGAACTCACTCTGTAGCCCAGCATACTCTTGAGCTCATAATCATCCTGCCTCAGCCTCCTGAGTAGCTGAGATAGGCCTGCAGCCACGGTTGGCAATTTGAGAAGGGCTTGAGTTGGTGGAGGCCATCAGCAGCCTGAGGCGGGTCTCTCAGTGAGACCAAGAGTCAGATGGGGACAGGGAACACAGAGGGAGCCTGAGGGGTTACTTAGTGAGGAAAGCAAGTGGGGAGGGCCAAGCAAAGACATAAGTCAGGGCCGGGCGGTGGCGGCGCACGCTTTTAATCCCAGCACTGGGGGGGGGGGGGGGGGGGCAGAGGCAGGCGGATCTCTGTGAGTTTGAGGCCAGCCTGGGCTACAGAGTGAGTTCCAGGACAGACATAGGTCAGTAATTGAAGCCTCCCTGGGGCTTTGGTGCTGGAGGCGTGCGGCATCCAGTGAAGGTGGGAGAGCGCTGAGCTGTCAATCTACCCGGCTGGTATGCAGTAAGTGCTCTGTATGTGCGGGTTCCTGGCCTCCCCAGCCCAGTGCATCCTGTCTCCATCACAGGGATCAGCCACATCATGGACAAGTGGTTGATGTTTGGCCCAGCAGGGCTGTGGAGGCTCAGAGCTGTTTTCTAGAGTGGTAAGCCCCAGGGGTGGGGTGAGCACATACCCTAAGAGTCTCCTAGAGTCAGGCTGGGTAGGACAAGCCTGTACCACCTAGTCCTAGCTACTTGGGAGGCTGAGGCAGAAGGATCATGAGTCCAGGGCCAGTGCTAGCACTGGGGGTGTGGCTCAGTGGGAGAGCACCTGCCTAGAATCCCCCAGTGAGGGGCTGGGGTGTGACTCAGTGGTAGAGCACCTGCCTAGAGTCCACCAGTGAGGGGCTGGGGGCATGGCTCAGTGGTAGAGCACCTGCCTAGAATCCCCCAGTGAGGGGCTGGAGTGTGGCTCAGTGGTAGAGCACCTGCCTAGAATCTCCCAGTGAGGGGCTGGGGTGTGGCTCAGTGGTAGAGCATCTGCCTAGCAAGTTGGAGGCCCTGGGTTCACAGCACCTGCCCTCAACATAAAGCTAGCCCTCTGGGTCTGGTCTCCTGAGGAATATCTGTTGGGACATTGAACCTTTATACAAGTGGACACGATGAGCCTGGGAGGTCACTCGGGCAGGAGTCCTTGGACTTTTAGCCCAGGCTTCTTTGTATTTTCTCTTTCAGCTGGGCTGGTGGCCCAGCAATAGTTCTTTCCATTGTCTGTCCTGCTGTTTTAAACCCCTCTCCAGGCCTTCCAAGTGGCAGAGGAGCAGTTGGGCATCCCAGCCCTGCTAGACGCCGAGGACATGGTGGCCTTGAAGGTTCCAGACCGGCTGAGCATCCTCACCTACGTGTCACAGTATTACAACTACTTCCACGGCCGGTCCCCAAGTGAGTCCCTGTCCAGGAGGGCCCTCCCATGCCGGGTGCATGGTCAAGACTGCCGACGCATCAGGACCACCAGCCCATGCTGCAGTTCTTCCTCTTGGGCTCCATGCCCACCCTCAGTCCCCATGCCACAGCACTGAGCCCTAGGGTGGGCAGTGATGCAGGGAGTGTACCTTTTGGAGACTACTCATGTGGGTCCTCATAGCTGTGTCTGTTACCAAGGCGACCAGAGGCCTTTGTGCGAGTATAGAGTGAGGCCCCTGGGCTCCCTTATTCCCCACCTGGCCTGCCGGGGAACACTAAGGAAGTGCCTACTGTGTGCTCCTAGATGCACTGTTGTCCTGGTCTTTCTATCCTCAACCCCCAAGGTCTTAGACAGCTGTCAGAATCATTCGGCAGACCCTGGGTGACTCATGGTTAACTGTGGCGATGGAAGCTGTGTGGCCCAGGCAGTGCGGACAGACCGGGTCTTCACCCAGCCCATGAGTGGGGAGCTGTTTGGCTTCCTGCACCACATTCCTCTTTTAGCTTTAGAAATCTCCGGAATCCCCCTGGGCCGAGGGCCAGCCTGGAATGGTGGTTTGGAAACAGAAAAGTCCCTTTCCGTGACCCCAGATGGGGTTGTCGGCTGGGAGACGGGGTGAGGGCCAGGCCAGGGTTTGCTGGAAAGAATGTGCCCCGGGGCTGTCCTTACCCAGCTCTGCACCCCGCCAGCTGTCCTAAGAGGCCCATGCCTTTCACTGTGGGCTCAGGGACCTCTTAGAGGGTACGAGCTCTGGGTGAGACCCTCCTCACCCGTTTCCTGTGTCTCATGCCAGTTGGAGGCATGGCTGGTGTGAAGAGATCCTCATCAGACTCGACTGAAGAACATTCTGGAAAGAAGGTCGTGTCCCAGCCTGCCGCCAAGTTGCCCTCACCTGCTCCAGCCCAGAGGTCACCACTGTCTCCAGCTAGGACAAACCCCGTGGTTCAGAGGAGTGAGGGAGGCTCAGAGAGGCCATCCCCAAAGGCCGTAAGCATACCTTGGTTGAGTGGGCATTGTAGGGCCAGCTGTATACCCAAACACAGAGCTGTGTGGGGTATTCTCTTAGGGTACAGTACCCTTCCCCATGCTTTGTATCCAGCGCACCCACTGAGGTGGCTCTGCTGGGCTCCAGTTCAATGTGGCAAGCATTGTGAATCCCGTAATACAGATGGGTAAACTGAGGTCATCCAGATGGGATGGAGCTGAAACCGCAGACCTTTCTGGGCTGGTTTAGATTGTCATCTTTCCTAGATGGGAAGGGACACTGGGTAGGACCTTCCATCCCTGGCCAGCCCTGCAGTGCTGAGCTTGAGTGCCCTCTGCTGTTCTGTAGTGGTTACTCTAGGTTCCATGAAGCCAGAGCAAGGCCGACCTGGATGCTGGGGGAACTGGCCTGATCCCAGAGCCTGGCAGGGTAGCAGAAGGCACTAGGTTTTGTCTCTAGCCCCACACTGGGTCCCCAGGATCTCCGAAATCAGTCTCCTGCTCCCCGACAGGGCCGGTCTGGAGGTCCTGAGTGTGTAGCCATGCCCATGCCCTGGCTAGTGGCTCCCCAGGGTCTCAGTTCTCCAGCCTATAAAATGGGATCTGTTGGCCACCCCTGGGCTGAGGTGGGAATCTGGAACTGTCAGCTGCCCCTCAGCAGCTCCCGACACTTCCCTGCAGGCTCTGGGAACTGCGGGCAGCTCCGTCAGCAGCATCTGTGGGATCTGTGGCAAACACGTTCACCTTGTGCAGCGGCACCTGGCTGATGGGCGGCTCTACCACCGAAGCTGCTTCAGGTATGGTCCCCGCTGCATGTCTGGGTGCACACTTCCTGTTCACACACCTTCCATGGCTCCCACAGTCCTTCCGTCTGTCCTCCATAGGGGACAGCACTGCTGAACCCTAATGTCCTCCTCTAATGTCCCCTCAGGGTGTCCTGGACACACTGACTCAGTTTCCCTTGTTATCTCAGCCCTTTGTGTTTTTTGTTTTGTTTTGTTTTGCCTTGAAGCAGGGTTTCTCTGTGTAGCCCAGGCTGTCTTGGAACTCACTCTATAGACCAGGCTGGCCTCGAACTCACAGAGATCCGCCTGGCTCTGCCTCCCGAGTGCTGGGATTAAAGGCGTGCGCCACCACCGCCCGGCCAAGTGTTGAGTTTTTTGACTCTGTGACTCTTCTTGTCTCCCTGAAGCTTCTAGATTTGGGGGACAAAGAGTGAATCTCAAGTCTTCTTCGAGCTTGGGGTAGTTGGACTCCTGAAAATGGGACACACTATGTAGCCTTTATGTACGCATCTGGTGACGTGTTTGAGCACTTTCTGTGGTGTCCACAGCCCTGACAAGTGTGCCAGTGTAAGCTGTAACTCATTGAAATCATCAACGAGCATTTGTTGAATAAATCAACGGCCGCATGAGTAGACAGAGGACTAAGTGAATGTGTGCTTTTGGGAGAGTGAAATAATGAGTGAGTGAGCCAGGGCGCAGGCTCTGAGTCCCTGTGCCTTCCTTCCACAGGTGTAAACAGTGTTCCAGCACGCTGCATTCAGGGGCCTACCGTGCCACGGGAGAGCCGGGCGTCTTTGTCTGTACTCATCACAGCTCAGAAGTCACCTCTGTGAGCCCCAAGTTGTCGAAACTGGCCTCCAGACAGCCAGGGGCTGTTGCTGCAGACACCAGGCCAAGCAATGCCTCCCGGAAGGTTCAGGAAGCAAATGGACTCGGAGAGGTGACACCGTTGAGGGCCAGGGCAGCAGCCTGGGAGCCCGCTGAAGGCAACGTGACTGCCAGGGGCTTTGTCCAGACTGAACTTAACCAGCCAGCCACCTCCCGTGTCCACGTGGGGAGCCCCGCTGGGCCCCGGCGGCCCACGAGCCCAGTGGTCACTACTTCTGTGAATAGCAAAGCCATCAGCCACGTGACTAATAGCTCCCCGACAGGATGGTCGTCACCTGCCCAGAGCAGCACGGCGACCATCGGCTCTCATCCTGTGGTGTACCCAAGTGCCCTGGACTCTCACCCGTCTGTGCCCCAAGGCCAGGCAGCCTCAAAAGGCGTCAAGACTCAGCTCAGCTTGAGCACAGCATCTCCAAACTCAACGGCCACCCCAGCCTGGACCCCCGCAGCCTCTAGGACCCAGCAAGCCCGAGAGAAATTTTTTCAGAATCCTGCCCCAACCCCAGCCAGCAACAGTACTGCCAGCAAGGTCCCCACTGTGGTGAATACCTCCACCAGCAAGGTCCCCACTGTGGTGAATACCTCCACCAGCAAGGTCCCCACTGTGGTGAATGCCCCCAATGGCAGGGTCCCCCCTGTGGTGAATACCTCCACCAGCAAGGTCCCCACTGTGGTGAATACCTCCACCAGCAAGGTCCCCACTGTGGTGAATACCTCCACCAGCAAGGTCCCCACTGTGGTGAATACCTCCACCAGCAAGGTCCCCACTGTGGTGAATGCCCCCAATGGAAGGGTGTCCACTGTGGTGAATACTTCCACTAGCAAGGTCCCCACTGTGGGGAATGCCCCCACCAGCAAGGTCTCCACTATAGTGAGTGCCACTGATGGCAAGGTCCCCCCTGTGGTGAATGCCCCCAATGGCAGGGTCCCCCCTGTGGTGACTACCTCCACCAGCAAGGTCACCACTGTGGTGAATGCCCCCACTGGTAGGGTCCCAGCCGCACTGAATGCCTCTGCCAGCAAGGTCTCCGCTGCTGTGGATACCCCTGCCCAGGAGAGCAGTCGAGAGCAAGCGCTAAGTGTCCTTAGGAAGGCCTTACCAGGGCTGGCGGGAGCTGGTATCCAGGCTCCAAGCAGGTAGGTGGGAGGGATGTGGGGTGTGGCTATGACCTGCCCACCAGGACATGGGGAAGTTCTGTTCCTCCATGACTGTGTGGCCTTAGCTTCCCTATCTGGAAAGTGGAGGTGGGGGACAGGATAGATGCAGGGACGCAGGGCATGCTGGTCTTACAGGATTTAGTGGCTGCAGGTGGCCCACACTAGATTGGTTCTCCAGGACCCTTATGCCTGTCTTGTGGACAGGAAAACAGGTATTGAGCTGGGAGCAACACTGCCTGGCTCCGTGCCTTGGATAACTTGTGTGAGTGGAGCTGGGTTCTGAGCCTCTCTTGGTGCCCGGCACCAATAGTGTCTCCCACTAGACGCTGACCGTACGGTGCAGATAGAGGGGGCAGTCACTCCTTGCAGGACAGCTTCCGTGGCAGAAGCATATCCTGTGGCAGGCCACACACTCCACCAGGGCTCCAGGGGAGGCTCCTTTCACTCCAGCGTATGGAGGGTCCTGGCATTCCTTGGTTGGTGGCAGCCTCCCATCTCTGATTCCACTGTTGTTGGGCTCCACTTTCCCTGTCTCTTCTGCCTTTTTTCTTTTGTAGAGTGCTGGAGATGGAGTTGAGGGTATCCCACATGCTAGGCAGGTGCTCTACCACTGAGCCACACTCCCAGCTCCTCACTGGTGGATGCTAGGCAGGTGCTCTACCACTGAGCCACACCCCAGCCCCTCACTGGGGGATTCTAGGCAGTGATCTACCACTGAGCCACACCCCCGCCCCTCACTGGGGGATTCTAGGCAGGTGCTCTACCACTGAGTCACACTCCAGCCCCTCACTGGGGGATTCTAGGCAGGTGCTCTACACTGAGCCACACCCCAGCCCCTCACTGGGGGATTCTAGGCAGGTGCTCTACCACTGAGTCACACTCCAGCCCCTCACTGGGGGATTCTAGGCAGGTGCTCTACACTGAGCCACACCCCAGCCCCTCACTGGGGGATTCTAGGCAGGAGCTCTACCACTGAGTCACACTCCAGCCCCTCACTGGGGGATTCTAGGCAGGTGCTCTACCACTGAGCCACACCCCAGCCCCTCACTGGGGGATTCTAGGCAGGTGCTCTACCACTGAGCCATGCCCCAGGTCTTTTTTTAAAATTATGTATGATGTGTGTGTGGGAGGGGTGCATATGTCACGATGTCTGTGTGGAGGTCAGAGACCGATTTTACGGAGTCAGTTTTTCCTCCACCTTCATGTGGGATCTGGGGGTTGAATTCAGGCTGCCAGTCTTTCATGGCAAGCACTGTCATCCTCTGAGCCTTCTTGCCAATCCAGTCCTGGTGTTTTTGAGACAAGGTCTCACGTATCCCAGCTGTCTGATTCACAAGCTGGCCTTCGACTCCAAGTCCTCTTGCCTTAGCGTCCCCAGTACTGGGATCCCAGGTGTGCACCACCACACCTGTGTCGTCTGTCTCCTATAAGGTTAGTGGTTTTTGAATGAGGGCCCCTGTACTCTAGTGTGACTGCATTATAGTGTGGTCACATCTACTGAACGCTCCCCCCGCACCCCCCCCCCCCCCGCACACACACTTTTTTTTGAGACAAGGTTTCTCTGTGTAGCCCTGGCTGTTCTGGAACTCCCTCTGTAGACCAGGCTAGCCTTGAACTCAGATATTTGCCTGCCTCTGCCTCCTGAGTGCTGGGATAAAGCACCACCACCGCCCAGCACCTTCCCCCCTTTTTAAAATCAGATCACATCTCAAGCTCCCCAGTGGTTCTCCAGTAGATCTGAGTTTTAGGGTACCCGTTCAGTCGGGTACCGCTATGTAGTGAGTCAAGAGGTTCTATCCTGGGTTGGTCTTTGATTTCAGGGTGGGAAACTCCTGGTTTGTAACTGCCTGAACCCACCCCTGTTTGGTGCCCAGAGGCTTTTGGGCTGGTCCTAGGGTGAGGAAGAGAACACGCCGCTGCTCTTGGGCTGTGATAGGCGCCTCTGTCTTAGCCCAGCAGAATAGGCTTAGCAGAGCTTGGAGTGGTGCCACATGTCGTCTGGGCTCTGTGTACCTGCATGTGAGTTGCCTAAGGGAATATAGTAACCCAAAGCCACGCAGCCCAGGTGGGGCTGGTGCCTGGCTGGACTGTCCAGCCTATGAGTAACTTAATACTGAGCTGGGCAAGTATCGACCAGCCCGTGGCTCCAGCCAGGGCCCTCCCTCCTTAGTGCTTCAGCTCTGGTTGGGGGACATTTTAATCCAGTGCACTCCAGATTTAATAGCATAAAGCAGCTTCCAATGCACGGAAGTACCACAAGCAGATGCCATGGGCCATCTGGCCTGGGGTAGATTGTCCTCAGTTTGTTGGGGTCACTCCAAAAACTATCTTCTTGAGGGGGTGACTCCTGGATTCACCCATACCTGATGCCCACTCTCTTCCCCATAGGTCTTCCCCTGCCACTTCCTCAGTCTCAATCACCCTTCCCCAGAATGAAGTGCCACAAAAGGTTCCCTCAGCCAAGCTATCACATTCAACTACTCCCCAGCCCCCCGCTTCGAAGATGGAGCCTACAGTCCCCCTGAGTGTGGGCAATACTCCATGGGCATCTGTATCACTCCAGATTGGCAACAAGAGCTTGGGTACATCTCCAGGGGTTGGCAAGACCAGTGCTGGCTCCAGACCCCAAGCAGAGGCGGCAGTAATGAAGGGTGAGAGTCCCTGCTATGGGGTGGGGAGGGGTGGAGGGGTACGGGGCCCTGGGGTCGGCCACTCCCCAAGTGTTACTATATGCCCCAGCTGCCTTTCTCTGTCCTGTCTGCTGTCCTGTGGCCCAGCTCTCAGAACCCATAGTCCTCTATGGGTCTTCATCTGCTGGCTGTGTGGCTGTGGCCAGTGTCCTCAGGGTCACACCATGACCATTGCCCTAGATTCATATGTAATCCCAGGTCATGTTGCCTTCTGTCCTTAGCTGTGTTCCCAGGGTGCAGAAAGAGGCCTTGTCCACCTTCACAATGGCTCTGCCTAGAACTGGGCTCCTGCTGTCCCCCGGCAACTCTTTCCAGACACCCCGGGTCTGCATACCCCTGCCCTGTCTGTAAATGTCTGGGGAAGTGGGGTTCAGGATGCACCACAAAGGTGTCTTTCTGTAACTTGCCCTTTGACCGAGCTCACTGTTTAGACCACTGTTAGGCATGAGCCAAGGATGACTATGGATAGGTAGCCATGCCCAGCCGTTGCTCATCATGTCGCCCATCACAGAGACTCAGTCCACAGAGTTTCCCTTCCATGTCAACACCCATTTGACAGATTGGAAATTGAGGCCTGGAAAGGAGTAGTGACCCGGGGGTACACAGCAGCCAGGCTGCAAGCCCCACCTCTGTCCTGTGTGCCGGGCTGGCTCTGGGGGTGTTGAAAGGTGCAGTTGGCTGTGAAGAGACATCCCCACCTGTCTCACCTACTTGGTCTGTTTCTTACACTCAGGTCCAGGCTCCACCTCTCAGGAAGGCCAGGAGGAGGGGCCAGAAGGGTGGAGGGCCCGCCTGAAGCCGGTGGATAAGAAAAACTCTGCAAGGAGGTGAGCAGGGGCGGCTGCTTGCTGGCAGGGCCACACCCGTGCCTGTGGGTCTGCTGTATGAGTTGGCCTAGCACACAGCAGGTGCCTAATTAAGTATGTGTGGAAGCATGGCAGTATACATCCAGGAATTGACACAGCTCTGGCCAGAAGGCATGCATACACTCGGACCTTTCAGTATCCATAGAAAAAGTTGGTTCACACCAGCTTGAGTGTCCTGGGACCCTTCACCTGCCAGGTGATGGGGACACCTCATCCCAGTGGGATGGCTTAAGGGATGTGGTGACCGCAGAGCAGGTGTGCCGTGCCAGGCAGCTCGCACGAGCCTGGCTTGGGGTGGGTGTCAGTGCGTCTGGTCCCTGCAAGCCTGAGGCACCCCGCGCCCCACACGGAGCATGTGGGGGCCCACAGCCCTGTGCCCTGGGGATGGAAGCAGACAGGTTCTGGAATTAGAGGCCAGGATGATGCAGGCCTGGCCAGGTAGCTTCCTTCAGACCATGCGGACCTTGGACATAGGCGTATGGCTTTGAGACAGACTCCTGGCTGTCCCCATCTGGGCTGGGCCTCACCTTATCTTCCACCTAGGACTCTGGAGCAAAAAGAAGTTCCAGTCCTGGTGAAGCCGAGGGCAGGGGACTCTCCCAAAAAAGCCTCCAGCAGCTCTGAGCCCAACATCCACATCATCGTGACTTCCATTCAGCACAAGAGGACACCATGCCCGCCTGGTTCCGGGCCCAACCTCAAAGGTAACGAGAGGAACTCAGGTGTGTCCTTGTGTGAGTTATGTACTCTGACTGGGGCCAGGCAGAGGCCCTGCTCAGCTAGAGTGGGTGCTTACATATGGTATGGATGTGTGTACATGTGTGTTCCTGGATGGGCTTAATGTGCACTCATGTATTCAGGCACAAGATATGTGTGTGCATACATATGGTCATGCATGATACATGTATATGGGGGATGTGTGTATGTGCATGTTCAGATATAGGATTTATGTATGCACGCATATTTGGGTATCAACATGTACATGCATGCTTAGATATAAGAGATATGTGTGAATATTTGTGTTCATAAATGTGCGCACACATGTTCATGCATGGTATATATGTGTACTAGGCATGTTCAGGTATAGTCTGCATGCCCATGTGTGTTCAGGCATGGAATATACATGGAATATAGGCATGACCTATATGTGTATACATGTGTATTCATGCATGGGATGTGTGTGTGTGAGGCATGTTCAGGCATAGTCTGTGTATGTGTGTGTCAGGCATGTATGCATGTATGCACATGCATGTTTAGGTGTGCCTGTGAATGAATATGTGTTGGGCCAGGTTTGCTCTTAGCACAGCTGTGCCCTTAGTGGGTCACTCCCCAGGTCACACTCTGTGATGTCAGTGGCACTGGCTTTGTGGGTCTGTTGGATGCTGCCTCCCTGGTGGATGTGGCCAGTCAGGGCAGGACAGGCGCCCTACCATGGTAGGTGTGTGGCACCTACATTGTCTGTCCTGGGACAGAGTAGGGGCTTAGAGCCCGGCTCCTCTCAGTGTCGGGGCTCTGGCCAGCAGGCCTCACATGCCTCTGCCCACTACTTTTGTGCTGGCAGCCCCCTCTCCTGCTCCATCACACCGTAAGAAACTAGCTGTCCCTCCCAGTCTGGATGTTTCTGCTGATTGGCTCCAGCCAGAGCTCAGGAAGCAGGAAGCTCAGACCAGGAACCGGAAGGAGGAGAAGACACCCACATGGGGGACACGAGGTTGGTCCTAGAGATGCCATTCTGCTGGAGAGGTGGTAAAGGGGGCAATGCCTGCTGGGGCTCATGGCCTAAAATAGATGGGTCGGGTCCTGTCCAGGCCGCATCCGGGTTCTGTTAGGCTTGGTGCCCTGAGACTGGGCCTCAGTCGTCCATCTGTTTTCTAGAGAGGCCTGCAGTCCTGGACAGTGCCCTTGCTCCACATGGTGAGACCGTGACCTCCCCAGTCAGGGTGAGTCATCTGGGTATCAGGGGACAGCTGGGCTTTGGTCCTGGGCTTGTGCTCACTCTCCATTGGTCCCCCAGCTGCACCCCAACTACATCCCCCAGGAGGAGCTGCAGAGGCAGCTGCAGAACATTGAGAATCAGCTGGACATCCTGGAGCTCCGGGGTGTAGAGCTGGAGAAGCGGCTGCGGGCAGCTGAGGGAGGTAAGCAGCTTGGGGCCTGCCCATACCCGTGGCCATGCCCCAAAGCTGACCGTGTACCCACTGGTGGCTGGTGGCCACACTCTATCAGCTTTTCATGCTCCTAAATGACTGTCCACACCTTTACTGGCGGTCCACACTCCCAATGGCTGGCCACATCTGCATGAGCTGACCACATGCTACAGCTGGCCATGCCCTTGAGCTGGCCTTGCTCCTATTGCCCAGGTCATATTCCTATAGGCTTGGCATACCTACACTGGATGGCCATGGCCACACTGGTTGGCCATCCCTTACTGGTTGCGGATTGACCATGCCCCTTACTGGTGCAGGCTGGCTCCATCCCACACTAATTGCAGATTGGCCATGCCCAGGCTGACTGCAGGCCCTCCTGAGTACCTCTGGCTAGCTTTCACCCTGTCCCAGGTCTGCCCTTCTGCACCAGGGTGGGTACCAGGCACTCTGTGGCTTCTCTGCCCGAGCTGTGTCTCTCCACAGATGCTTCAGAGGATAGCCTCATGGTGGACTGGTTCCGGCTTATTCATGAGAAGCAGCTGCTGCTGAGGCTTGAATCGGAACTCATGTACAAGTGAGACCCCTGAGCCTTGCGGTGCCCTGCTGGGACCAGCCCATGGATGTGGTGGGGACAGCCTGGTCAGGCTGGGCCTCAGTCATGTGTGTCCTGCAGGTCCAAGGACCAGTGCCTGGAGGAGAGGCAGCTGGACCTCCAGGACGAGCTGCGGAGGCTAATGGACAAGCCAGGTACTCGTCTGTCCCCAGGAAGCCTGGCCTGAGAGCCACAGACCCGGGTGCCAACTTCCCCGTTTGCCCTGCCTTGACCCATGAGAGTCTAATGGTGATATGGTTGTGGTTAAGCCACGAGGCTTCTGGCTTTTGTTCCTATGCTTCTGGCTGTGTGACCTCAGACAAATGCCTTAGCTGTTCTGTGCCTAAGTGTGATGCTCTTCAAAGTAAGGACCTCATAGTGTGATCCCTGCTCTACTTCCGCCCCCCCATCCAGCTAGTGAGGGATTCCAAGGATGACATGAGAGGGGCACTTTGAGCAGTGAGGACAGCCTTCACACCACATCCTGGCTGTAGGACCCCTGCCTCAGCCTTGCATAATACAGACACAGATACCAGAGGCTCCACACTCAGGCTGAGTGGCCCGGTTCCTGATCCAGCCCACGCTGTAAGCTCCTCCACCATGCATTGCTCTCTATCGGAGGAGTCCAACACACAGACGTGTGACTGTCCTGTCCCTGAGCAGAATAGGGCTCCTACTGATGGCAGGCTGTCCCCACAGAGGGTCTGAAGTCCCCCAGGGACCGCGAGCGGGAACAGGAGCTGCTGAGTCAATATGTGAACACCGTGAATGACCGTAGTGACATCGTTGACTTCCTGGATGAGGATCGGCTCCGGTGAGGGACAGGGGACCTGGGGAGGGCAGGCTGGAGTCAGAGTTGCTCCCGGCTGGCAGGCTACTCTTACTCAGTGGGACCCAGGTTGTATTTCACAAGAGGACTCAGCTTTGGGGAGGCTAGTCCTCCCTTGGGGGTCTTTGTCACTCAGGACCCTAGCCTTTAAGGACAGCACTGCCCAGTATGGCTAATGAAGGAAACAGCCTGTCATCCATGCTGTCCTGCGTGGCAGCCATGAACAGCTAATACACCACGACCTTTGGCCTGTGAAACTGAACAGTTGAGTCTAAAATGGCTTTTAAAAAATGGTTTGTTTATTTAATATTTTTACATGTGTGCCTGTGTTCCTACAAGAATTTATGTGCACCCCATGTGTACAAGGCCAGAACAGGGCATCAGATCCTCTGGAATTATAGCTACAGGTGGTTGTGGGCTGCTCTGTGGGTTCTGGGGACTGAACCTGGGTCCTCCACTCTTAACTGCTAAGCCATCTCTCCAGCCCCTAAAACTTCTTTTACCTTTATCTTGTATGTGTGGTGCTGGGAATTAAACTTAGCCTCATGAATACTAGGCAGGTGCTCTGCCACTGTACCCCCAGCCCCTCACTGGGGGATTCTAGGCAGGTGCTCTACCACTGAGCCACACCCTAGCCCCTCACTGGGGGAGTCTAGGCAGGTGCTCTACCACTGAGCCACACCCAGCCCCTCACTGGGGGATTCTAGGCAGGTGCTCTACCTCTGAGCCACACCCCAGCCCCTCACTGGGGGATTCTAGGCAGGTGCTCTACCACTGAGCCACACCCCAGCCCTTCACTGGGGGATTCTAGGCAGGTGCTCTACCACTGAGCCACACCCCAGCCCCTCACTGGGGGATTCTAGGCAGGTGCTCTACCACTGAGCCACACCCCAGCCCCTCACTGGAGACTCTAGTGTTGTGCTATAGCCCGAGCACTGTTGTTACTTTATTTTGAGACATGGTCTAACTAAGTTGCCCAGGCTAGCCTTGAACTCACTCTTTGGCCCAGGTAGACTTGAAACTCAGTCCTCCCATCGCATACTTAGCTGGGATATTATCCCAGAAGTAGCTGGGATAATAGGCCTATACCATCAAACCCAGGTTAGCACTTAATTTTAACCAGTATGTGTAGCTGTGTGTTTTCTGGTGGCTGCCAAGCTTCTCCATGGTCCTGAATGTGGCAGGAACTTGAGGCAGCTAGTGATGTCATATCCAGTCAAGAGCAGAGGGAGATGAGTGTGAACACGCTTGTGCTCAGCTTGCTCAGCTCTCTTGTGTCAAATGAGGCCCCATGTCCAGGGCACACAGGGTCAGCCCAAAGCTGAACTTAAGCCAAACTCTGTGTGACCCCAACAGGGGCTTACCCAGTGTCAGAACAGGTCATCGGCTATCCCCAACTCACTGTTGAGTGGCCAGGCTGGGGAGGTGGCCAGTTGCCTGGGGATGGAGGGACATGTGGAGACTCTCATGTTGCAGGGAGATAACTAGGGCCAGGTGGGGCTGACTCTGGGGTTAGGGTGGAGCGGGGAGAGGGAGAGAGAGACAGACAGACAGACAGAGAGAGACAGAGAAAGAGTGAGAGAGAGCATGAGAGAGAGAGACACACACACACAGAGAGAGAGAGAGAGAGAGAGAGAGAGAGAGAGAGAGAGAGAGAGAGAGAGAGAGAGAGAGGTCATGAGAGAGATTGTGGGCGCGCACGTGTTACCTGTAGCTCTCCAGGGCCCATGTCCCTCACAGTCACCCTGTCTCCACTCCAGGGAACAAGAAGAGGACCAAATGCTGGAGAACATGATCCAGAACCTGGGTAATTATGGGTGCACAGCATGGGGCAGGGAGGATGGCCTTCCCAGGTTGGGAGGGGCGGGACTTCCTGTGGGAGTGGGAGCCTCAGTGGGAGCTTCATGGCTCTGTCCTTCCCTCAGGCCTCCAGAGGAAGAAGTCCAGGTTCAGCTTGTCCAAGATCTGGTCCTCGAAGAGCAAAGGCGGGCAGACGTGAGCTGCCCATTGCTGGCAACAGGGCCTGGCCCTTCTCAGCAAGAGACTGGTGCTGTGACCCCAGACGAGATGCTCGGGGGTCCATGCCTCCCACTCTGGGGCCTTGTATCCTCAATAAAGACATCGACCCTCCCACATGTACCTCTGCATGTCTCTGTGCCAGGGGCCCGGCACCTGTGTCCCAGCCCTGGGCATGTACCAGGTGCTTTGGGTGGCCTCTCATTCTCTGTCCCAATTCTTCTCTGTGGCTGTGATAAAATCCAGACAAGGCAACTAAGGGGAGAAAGAGTTTGCTTTAGCTCCCAGTTCCAGGTTTCAATCTGTCGCTGTGGGGAAGTCACAGCGGGCAGGGCTTGGAGAAGCTGATCACATGACATCCGCAGTCAAAAGCAGAGAGAAATGAATGTGTGCACACTTAGGGCTTAGTTTTCTTTTTTTTTTTTCTTTTCCTTTTTCTGAGACAGGGTTTCTCTGTGTAGCCTTGGCTGTCCTGGAGCTCACTTGGTAGCCCAGGTTGGCCTTGAACTCACAGAGATCCCCCTGGCTCTGCCTCCTGAGTGCTGGGATTAAAGGCATGCGCCACCACCACCTGGCTCAGTTTGCTTTTCTTCTTTTAGATCATTCTGGTCCCAACCCCAGGGCATGGTACTGTCCACTTTCCGGCTGCGTCTTTCCACTTCTATTGAGGCAATCAAGACAGTCCCCTGCAGACGTGCCTACAGACCGGCCTGATCTAGATGGCCCCTCATTGAGACTCTTCCCAGGTCACTCTAGTCTGTGTCCAGTTGAAAATCGAAGCTAAGCATCATCTTCTCTGGACATGTCAGTTGCTCCCTGTCTGTGCAGGAGGACAGAGTGGGACACTATAATAGTATGCCCCCATGGGCCTGGGATCTGTGCCCTGGACACAGGTGACCTGTGGGCATGGGGCAGAAGATGCCTATGGTTTATGATAGGGTCCTTGAGTAGCTGCAAGGGTGTGTCTTCTCAAGGCTGGGGTGTACGTTACAGGCTTGAGAAAGACCAGTGGGGTAAGAGGCTTGGGGGAATCAGGCCGCACATGGGCAGGACTGGCTCAGGAGCAATGTGGTGAAGTGTGGCAGTGTGCTGGCTTGTTTTATGTCAACTTGACACAAGCTGAAGTCATCTGAGAGGAGGGAACCTCAATTAAGAAGATGCCTCCATGCCTTGTGTGGCGATGCACACCTCTGATCCCAGCATTTGGGAGACAGAGGCAGGCAGATCTCTGAGTTCCAGGACAGCCTGGTCTACAGAGTGAGTTCCAGGACAGCCAGGGCTACACAGGGACCATGTCTCTATAAGATCGGGCTGTAGGCAAGCCTGTAGGATATTTTCTTAATTAGTGATTGATAGTAGAGTGGGAGAGCCCAGCCCATTGTGGGTGGTACCATTCCTGGGCAGGTGGTCCTGGCAGGCTGACCAAGACATGAGGAGCAAGCCATAATCATCAAGCCAGTAAGCAGCATCCCTCCATGGCCTCTGTCTGCATCAGCTCCTGCCTCCAGGTTCCTGCCCTGCTTGAGTTCCTGTCCTGACTTCCTTCAGTGTTGGACTGTGATGTGGAAGTGTAAACCAAATAAACCCTTTCCTCCCCAGGTGGCTTTGGTCATGGTGTTTCACCACAGCAACAGAAACCCTAAGCAGTGTGGCCTTGTTCCTGGAGTCTTGGGCTCCGCTGGCAGCTTGGACCTCTAGGACCTCTTGTGTATTAAGGGCACAAGGCTTGGAGGGACCTAGGCAGACCTACCTGGCCCTGGCCCTTGAGTTAGCCATGCCCCCATCTCCCTCATCCCCCCCCTTTTTTTAAATGTTCATTGGTGTTTTACATATGTGCCTGTGTGAGGGAGTCAGATTCCCCAGAAACTGGAGTTACGGACAGTTGTGAGCTGCCCTGTGTCTGCTGGGAATTGAACCTGGGTCCTCTGGAAGAGCAGTCAGTTCTTTTTTTTCCCTTTATTAAGAAATTTTTTATTCATTTTACATACCAACCACAGATTCCCCATCTCATCTCTCCTCCCAGCCCCCATCCCCCCACCGCCTTCCTCTCCAACCCACCCCCTCCTCCAAAAAGGTAAAGGCCTCCCATGAGGAGTCAGCAAAGTTCTCTTAACCATTGAGCCATCTCTCCAGCTCCCCATCCCCTCTTAAACCATCCAGGGACCCACTGCAGTTCAGCCACTTGACCACCAGGGGAGGCAGGCTGGCACACAGGAGGGCTGGCTGGGGCCGCCAAGAGGTGCCAGGAGCCACTCAGCTTTACAGATAGGGTGACCACCTGAGGCTCGGAATGGCTCTGCAGGTCCTGGAAATCACAAGGCAACTCAGCCTTGGAGACTGGAACCCAGAGGTTGGATGGCTCTTTGAGCTCTTGGACTGTGTCCTGGTGGCATCCTTCATTCCCATGGGATGTTTACCTGGCAGGGTATGTATGTGGAAGAGGGGCCAGGACCCTGAGCCCTCACCTCTTATCCAGGCTGCTCTCCATAGACCTCAGATGTCTTGGGACTGCCAGCAGTGCTTGGTAACTTACAGCATGGCCCAGGATCTGACCCCGGCCTGTGTGTAGCATCCTTGCTCTTTTCCAGGGGCTTGGTGCCTGCTGTCCCACAGGGCATAATGGCAGAGGGGGCCAGGAAGTCATCCTTAGAGCACAGGAGCTGAATGCCAAGCACATCAGTCAGGAGGCAGAGTATGAAGGGCCTGTGGAACATTGGGGTGGCCTTTGGGGACAGATGGCCTGTCTTCACCTGATACCCCCAGTGTGGAATCGAATCAGCTGCAGGCCACTGGGATAGCTCACAAGGATGAGAGGGGTCCTACATATGCCCCATGGGAGTCGGAGCCCTGAGGACACCAAGGTGTGGTATCCTTTGGGGACAAATGGCCTGTCTTCACCTGACACCCCCAGTGTTGCAGACTCCACCTGCCACAGGTCACTGGGATAGCTCACAAGGATGAGAGGGGTCCTACATATGCCCCATGGGAGTCGGAGCCCCGAGGACACCAAGGTGTCGTGGCTGGATGTTCTTTGTTGCCTGTGTATACAGTTAGTGCTTAATATGCATGCCATTTCTGTTAACACTTAACCCAGAGCAGTAATATTCCTGTGTGAGTATGGAGTAGGGTATGGGAGTTTTTAGGGGAGGGCCTGTGTCCCCTACACTCATGTTCACATTGGTCTTCAGCCCTGAGGATCAGAGGATGCTGAAAGATGTTCTGGGCTTTGGGAAACAGGTGGGACTAGGGCCTGGCTCTGGCTCCGGTGGCTGTAGTGGGGAGAAGTGGGGGAGGTGAGGCTGAGGTTAAGAGTAAGACACTGTACTGACTGGTTTTGGGGGTCAACTTGACACAAGCTAGAGTCATCAGAGAGGAAGGAGCCTCAGTTGAGAAAATGCCTCCACGAGATCCAGCTGTAAGGCATTTTTCTCAATTAGTGATTAACGGGAGAGGGCCTAGCCCACTGTGGGCGGTGCCATCCCTGGACTGGTGGTCCTGGGTTCTATAAGAAAGCAGGCTGAGCAAGCCATTTGGAACAAGCCAGTAAACAGCAGCACCCTCCGTGGCCTCTGCATCAGCTCCTACCTCCAGGTCCCTGCCCTGTTTGAGTTCCTGCCCTGACTTCTTCCTTCAGTGATGAACAGCAATGCTGAAGTGTAAGCCGGATAAGCCTTTTCCTCCCCAACTTGCTTTTTGGTCATGGTGTTTTGTCGCAGCACTAGAAACCCCAAGACACACACTATGTCTGGGCACATGGTTATGTCCTTGTTGTTACAGGGCATTACCTCCCTGAAGTACTTCTCACTTCCTCTTCTAATGCTGGGCTGCTGTGCCCGGGGCCTCTGCGCTGTGCCCGGGGCCTCTGCGCTGTGCCCGGGGCCTCTGCGCTGTGTCCGGGGCCCCTGCGCTGTGCCCGGGGCCCCTGCGCTGTGCCCGGGGCCCCTGCGCTGTGCCCGGGGCCCCTGCGCTGTGCCCGGGGCCTCTGCGCTGTGCCTGGGGCCTTTGCGCTGTGCCTGGGGCCTTTGCACACGCTCTCTGCCTCACAACTGGCTCCTTACTTCCAGGTCTCTGGGTAACTCTGCCATTCTGTTCTCTCAGAGAGTCCTGAACACCAGATTCAGATGTTTCTCTGTTTCCTGATATCTGAGGTGGATGACCTTGAGGTCAGGGGGGTTCATTTCTCTCCCACTGTGGACCCCATGTGCCAGTAGAGTACCTCACATACAGTGGGTATTTTCTCTGGTATTTTCTGAATGAATGAATGAATGAACGAACGAACGGATGGATGAAGAGGAAGACCTGTGTCTTGAACCATCAGCTGCTTTTCCAGCCTCAGAGGACATCAAGGCAGTCAGTGTCCACCGGCACAGAGGCAGACTCTGGCTGAGCTCAGTTGTGCCCCGTCTTGCTGTGGGGCCCTGGAGTTGCACTCTAGAGCCAAATGGAGACGATGAAGAGACTTAGAGAACCCTGAGGACTCCCTGAGATCATCTCAGAGGTGGGGACCGTACCTGGAGCCCAGGGCTGGAGGGTGCTGTGGGCTTGCTCAACTGTATCCCTTTCTCCTCAGTCCTGCCTGCATGGATGCTCGGCCACAGCTGGGTGTGGGTACCCCAGTGTGGGAGGCTCATGGGAGATACACAAGGGTCACTGAGGTGTGCTTAGGAGTTCAGAGCCCTGAGATGTTCCATGTGCAGTGAGAGGCGGACATGAATTCCATGGTCACTCCCATCCTCCTGGAGATTTCACCCTTTCAGGACTGGGGCAGCCAAGGGAGCCCAGTCCTGACACCTGCCAACCAGATCCTTCTGTGTTCTGCATCTGGCAGTCGCTCCTCCCCGAAGGGCCTGCTTTGGCTCCCACTTGCCTCACACACTTGCCCAGCTGACCTGGTCTGTATTGGGATATCCCTCTCCTACCATCCACACCATGCTTCACCAGAGATCTCTGACCAGGTACCTGTGGCAGGTGCCAGGAGCCTGTTGCTGGTCTACTGAGGTGTCCTCTCTCCTTGGGCTGGGCATCACCAAAAAAAACACAGTTATCCCTCCGTTCCCAGGTTGGAGTTCGGGGGTTCTGTATTAACTAGTCTCCCAGGTGATTGGAGCTGCTGATGG